TATGAAGATAGCACAATGAAACCCATCAAATATTGTTTGAAAAGGGGGGGGGGGTTGGAGGAGGGAATAAGGTTAAGGGAATATAATAGAGGTGGTGAACTTATTCAAAGTATACTGTACACATCTATGGAATTATCACAATGAAACCTGCTTGTACTACTAATGTATGGTAATAAAAATAGTTTTAAGAAAAAGAAGGAACAAGTGAAGCCTCAGAGATCATCATGCTGTAACTAGTAATTGCAATAAAGACTGATAGAGAATTAGATGGGCAGCAAACCTTTACACATAGTAAACTGACTTACAGAAATAGCTCCTTTTGATGAGGATCTTCTAAATTGAATTGATTTTTTCTTATAAGTTCAAAAAATTCTCCTCGCCTCCTTGAAAATAAAGAAAAACATTTGGTAATTATGTCAAGTCCTCAGGTTCATCCTTTTGGTCTATAGGGAATAAAAATTAATTTTTTTCCATGTTAGAAGCCAATATAAAAAAATTATCCTTAAAAATATTTAAATACCTCACTTCATTCTCCTCATTTGCTTTGGGTGGAATAGTAAACCTCACTTACTTTTTCTTTTGATTGTATTGGGCTTAACTCAGGAGACCTGCACTTGCCAGGCAGGTACTCTACCACTTCCGCTATGCCCCCAGACCTTTTGCTTTAGTTTATTTTTTTCAGGTAGGGTTTCCATTTTTGTGGGTGCTGGCCTTGGACTGAGATCCTCCTACTTAAGCCTCTCACATAGTTTGTATTACAGACACAAACCACCGTACCAGGCTTATTTGTTGAGATGGGGTCTTTGCCACCTCTTAAACTGTGATACTCCCAATCTCCACCTTTAAGTAGCTAGAATTACAGGGGTGAGCCACCATGCTGGCCCATAACTTTGCCTCATTTTTTAATGTATAGATCACAAATAAAGGTAATTTCAAATTTGGAAATTTTTAATTAAAAAATAAAATAGTATGTGCTACAAATGTGATGTCAAGAATGACTTAAGATGTTTGAAGAGCATGGCATAGAATCCATAGGTTTCATTGTAATGTCATATATGGTTTCCATCTATATCCTGGTGTAGGATAATTAAAGGGCAATAAGGTTGTGAAGCACTTAGGAAGCATAGAAACACTAAGTGAAGTCTAAAGCAGCATTTATTATTATTCAATGAATGCAGTATTTGGGTATAAGAAATAGCTCCTATGCCCAACATTAGTAAGCATCTTGAGAAATCACTAGACAAGAGTTGGTCTTTTCACAGTGTTAAAATCTAGCTAGAGACACAGACTCAAGGGAAGAAAAATATATATAATAAAATTGTCTATGACTGCATATCCAAAATGAAAAGTAGGTTTCATATGAGCTCAGAGTAGACATCCCAGTGGCATGGAAAGACTGGGAAGGCTTTATGCTTCAAGGTATTTTTCAAATTCTTGGTAATTTGATAATCTGCATTCTGTAATTATTTTGAATAAAATGAAGTTTACTGCATTTTCTTTTGTTCTGGTTGACCTTAAAGTGCTCAACAATTCAATGAAGCAGACATCTGCAGTTAGTTTTGGTATATAACAGTGGATATCTGGCATAAATTTGTGTTTGCCCTACATGTTATGCTTCTGCTAGAGTGCCTAACACCATGACTGTGGAGAAGACCTGTGTTACAGGGAAACTCTGTGAGTGTGATTTCTTGTCTCTTTGTGTTCCCACACACCCAAAGACCCCACTCTGTAACTTGGGAATTAATGACTGTCCAAATACAGGAAAGTTTTTTCTAGTTTATAGAGAAGCACATCAATCATACACATGCACAGTCACAAACAGCACTTTAATGCATAGTTTTAATTTAGAATCAGTAACTTTAAAGTTCTACATTAATACTCTTCTACAAAAATCAAGTAAGAAGAAAGGATAATTACTAGTTTGACTTTTGGCTTCTTTTCTTACCCACCTAAGCTTGGAGGACAGGATAAGCAATTGTGAAATGGACAGAAGTGGGGGAGAAAGGGAAAAAAAGAGAGTAAGGGAAAGGAAATGTCCTGTATAGTCCTCAGATTGGACAGACTGGCTTGGGATGACCTTGTGAGGGCTATCCAATATGAACAAAGCTTCAGAGACACAGCTGTAGAGGAACACAACAACGAATGTGCTCTACCATTTTTAACAGTAAGGAAGTGAAGGCAGACTTCTCTGGCTGCCTTTAAGAAACTGCTCTGCGGTCTAACCGATAACTTTGTCAGGACTTTGGCTTTATAAAGTTTCCCAATGTGGATATTAAACAGTTGAAATATTATAATACTTGTGAGACCTATTTCAGAAGATATTTCTTAAAACTTACTTAATGTATAGTGCTAGGTCTGTAGCTAAAATAGCTTGCTTGATTATTTTCAATGTGGTCTTGTATTCTTCAATGGAGAGGCCACTAAGAATCTGGTTGCCCTTTATAAAAAAGAAAACATTGTTAGCAGTATACCTGGGGAAAGAGTCATCAGGAACAAACTCTGAGTTAGTCATACATCTTAAATACATGCCTAGGATTCGGAACTCATTAACATGGAGGACAACTGCTTACTTCAGTACCATGAAAAATTTCCCCTCTACATTCTCACTTTCCCCACCCTGTCCTAAAAGAAAAAAGCAGCTATATAATGTTATACCTACCTATGTATCAACATGTGTTCCTAACTCTCACACTTCTTGGGTCTTAGTCTAGACCTAAAATCTAAATAGCTATATATCTTTTCCTTCAGGAAGATTAATTGCTATAATCCAACAAGTGAATATTTGAAAAACCAAAGGTATATTAATGGACGGAAAGAATGAAGTTGTGAAATTTTTATAGCCCAATCATGGAATCAGTCTAGATGTCCATCAACAAATGAATGGATAAAGGCAGTGTGTTACGTACACACAATGAAGTTTCACTCAGCCATTAAAAAGAATGAAATTATGTTGTTTGCTAGAAAAATGGATGGAACTGGAAATCATCATGGTAAGTGAACTAAGCCAATCCCACAAAGACAAGTTTCTCATGTTTTCCCTCATGAAACAAACAAAACAATCAACCAAGGTCATGAAAGTAAAAGAGGGACTACTAGTCAGGTGGAAAGGGAAGGGAAAGGTAGAGAGAGAAGGGGGGATAAGAAAGAGTACTACAGAGGGTGAATATGAGCAAAATACATTATATAGGTGTATGGAAATGTGATGAAACCCCTTACTATATATAATTTAATGTACACCAAGAAAAGAATGGAGTTGTAGAATTTAAAAACAACTGATTATTACAAAGTCATTTCTCTATGACTTTTGTAATAAACCCAGTACCATTTGCGGTGTAAATTTATATATCTTAATATCAAGAACTATGTGTTTCTGAGGACAATATAGGTGGGTAGCAGGCCTTGGCCAGAGGTGTGCTTACTATTGGTGGAATGAGAAACATGGGCTGTGACAGCTACAAGGAATAGTGAAAAGGGGGCTAATTCAGGTGCACATCATTGAAAGCTTTTGCTACATAATCATTTTTTATTTCTTGCCTGTAATTTAAAGCAGAGTGGTTCTCTAATCTTGAAATAAAACACACAACTCAGGCACTCAAGAGTATACTCAACACATCTGTAAATTGAATTATATGTGCTTCCTAAATCTTAGTGCCAAGACAATAATCCAGAGGCTTAAGAATGAGATGTGGAAGCAAAGGATTTGTTATGCTAGAACTGTGGGGTGTGCAAGGCTGGGTACAGGCCCATTGGTTAGATGGTAACTACATGCTGAAATTGTGGCATGGATCTAATTAATGACAAATATCTGTAATTACAACCATAAATATAATTTTTAAATACTAAATCATTTTAGCTCTTGGGCCAAATGAAGTCATTCAAAAGCTTCTATACTTTTATTTACTTTATGATAAAATTATTTCAAGCAGGAAATGAAATGTCTTTTGGTGTTATATTTTTATTTTTGTTTCCAAGAGCAGAGGCTATAATTTTTTGTGTGTAATTATGGTTATAAAGATAGCATATATAGACAGATCTTATGATTTGAGCCAGCCATATATACAACCAGATCCATGCATGTGAAGTAATAACATATTGCATAATAATTTACATTATCTAGTAAAAGAAGTAACTGTGACAGGAAAACTATTAAATATGCTTTCTAAAACTGTTTGCTTTTTGTTTTTTTGCTTTGGAACCAAATTGTAGTATGATAGTAAAGTGAAAGTTTCAGCTAAAGCACATTGACAACAAATTTCAAGGAAAGTACAGATGTTTTTACTATAACACATCATATACATTTCTGCAAAGTCTCAGTTCTGGAAAACTGCACACCAGAAATAACATGGTTTATAGAAAAAATAGTGTTGGGGGCAGACCACTGAAAATCAATACAACTTCAAAACCAGAGTCCAAACTGAACTGAGAACTGGTTCTTCCAGAGGAGACGTGGACTGCTCAGTCCTGTGGGTCTGGAGGCTACATCAAGGATGTGAGAGATGCAAAAATCACCCAGGTGGAAATGCTGCATTGTGAGGTCCTGAGGCAAGAGAACATGCCAAGAGCCTGAAGCAGTTCAAAGCAAGGGAGAGAGCCGAGGGTCCCAGGGCCCATTTTTAATATTTTTAAAATAGAATAAAAAGGGCTTCATGTGTAGGAGCTGAGTGAGCTTTCTTGCTGAAGGTCAAAATTCGACTCCCATAATTCTGGCACCTTTCACCCCAGACAACTTGTGTATGAAATGATACAACTGCTGCAGTACACTGACAACATTCCTCTACTTATCCGTCACACATAATCTAATTCATATAAGCAATTCCAGTTCATAGCAAAACAGTCTGTATTAGACCATATGCAAACTTCCTAAGGAGGTTATCAAAACAGAATATGCAACTTTTTTGGGCAGTGCTAGGAATCGAAGTCAGGGCCTTACACATGTAAAACCTTTACTCTACAACTGAGCTATATCTCCAACCCAGGCTGCATGACTTTTAACCTTTCATCCACACTGAGGTGATTCTAGGAGGGTTAAGAGTGTGTTCCCTTTATCTCAAGTAAGAGAGAGGCATGGAAATTATTTCCTGCTGTCTGTTGGGTGGAGGTGGGATTGGAGTGGACTTGTGTACATTTCCTGTCTGGGATGTCTGAAAGGCAAGGTTCAGACTGGCTAGCCACTCTCTTACTCTGTGGCTATTCAGGGATATCCCCACAAGGGCACTCTGCAGGGATCATGAAATTTCCCATAAGAAAAAACTCAGTTTCAACATCTATCAGGCACAAAGAGTTAGCACTTGGAGCAGTACCAGTCTGTTTAGAATGTTCAGGACCCTCTTCTTGGCTATTATTTTTTTGCCATTCTCCAGCTGGAAGGGTAGGAAACTACATGGTGATCTAGGAGTGAGGAAGGAATTGGAAGAAACACAGGTAATGAATGGGAGAAGCCAACAAAGGCAGTAAGGAGTGAACCAGAAACTTTAAATCAAGTTCAAAATTTGGACTATTATCCAGACTGGACATGTTGGCTTGTGAACTGAGAACTGTATGTTATGTAGTAGGACCCAGAGTAAATAGAGGGCTTTTACTTATAAAACTGTGACCAGAGTGGGACTCCCTGAGTTTTCTTCCAGGGATCAGGGAAGAACTGGCCCCAGTGGGGAAACATACAGACATGGTGTTAAATCACTTCAAGATTATACACTAAGCCTGGTGCTCATTCAGGGTCATAGTTACAACTCTCATTTTTTTTCCTTATCATAAAGGTATCACATGCAGACAAGAGATAATGTGAATAATGAACAAACCAAAAAGAGAAATTATAAATTTCACTAGACAAACACTACTATTAATGTTCTGATATATATATTAATCTTTTCTTTAACATAAGTATGTTTATTTAGCACATTGTATGTTTTCTTACATTGATAAATATTTAACAAAATTGTTGAACAGCTTTATTCCTTAACAAAAAAGTTTGTTAGTGATTAGAAGTTTTGATAAAAACGGGGGGCTGGGGGTTTGGCTCAGTGGTAAAGCACTTAACTAGCAATGCATGAGGCCTTGAGTTAAATCCCCAGCACTGAAAAAAAAAAAAGTATAGTATTGCCTTTTGAAAACAAACCCCAAGCTGTATAAACCACTTCATTTGATTTAAAAAAATCAGAATTAACCAAGAGCCACAAAATACCTGTTCTCTTTCTAATTTGGAGTAACCAAACACAGCTGAGTAGCCAAATTTCCCTTATCAGGCAACATTAGACAGTTCTGGTTGTCTAGAGAAGCAAGGCTGTGGAGATCTCAAATGTTTCAGCTTTGCCTTTCTTACCCAAAAAGGAATAGAGTCTGTGTTCAAGAATTTATGATGCTGGGAATAAGTCCAAAACCTAAAAATAAGACTGAATTTATAATGCTCTCTTTTAAAATTCCACACTAATAAATTAGGTACTTACGGGACTATTGAGAATCATCAAGCATTGGTCAAAGTGATGATGCTCCATGATTGAGTGGCAGTAGAGCTGAGCAAGTGGGTGCTCGCTTCTGAAAAACACATTGTTAAGAAAGAAAGCAACTTCCCAAACACGTCAGTTTAGCTGTTCATTCTTGTTAATGTTACTTAACTAAAAGAGAAGCTACTTCACAAAATTAAACCAACAATTTTCTCTCCTGCTGAGAAAAAGGGTGAGGTTGACTCTGGGAAAGAAAAAGTCGAACTTTTCGAATATCAATGTAATTGCAGACAGTGTGAACAGTATCATTGGTTTTAATATTGAATGAAACAGTAGACGAAGGATAATGACAAAGGACTAATTCCCCCAACCATGAAACAAAGTATTTCTGTGTTGTATTTCAAATATTGTTATACCAACAATATTTTTCAATTTCAAAACTGCAGTTGACTTAAAATGTGAAACAAATTCATATGTTAGCTTTTCCTCTGAAATAAAGATCAAGCCAAAGGTCAATCTTAGCCACATATAAGGAGAAGAACTGATTGAGATGGAGTTAACTGGGTGAGTGACAGAATCCCAGAATCCGAAGGGGGACAGTCAGTGGAAGGAAGGGAGGGAAAGATGAAGAGAGAGAGGGAAGGAGGGAGGGATGAAAAAAAGGAACGAAATGAGGGAGAGGGAGATAGAAAGGTTATTTCAGTGTGGGATATCCTGTTAGCTCTTAATTGAATTTGGGGAAGCAGCAGACACTGGCTGAGAAAGGGGGGGGGATATTATACTATTTATTAGATGTGTGGAACAGTCACAAATAAAGTTCTGAAGCATGATAGGCACAGTTCTCTACCTCATTTTTCTCATGGCCCTTCACACTTGAAAATCGAGCACAGTTTTCACTATTTCTTCTTCAAAAGAAGTACTGAAAACATCTGCTACTAAAATTTACAGGAGAGGGGTTTATTAATTGCAAAGCTTCACACAAGCATTAGGTAATATCATTGGTTTGTTATTTCTCCATACTACTATTTGAACCATTATTTTGCTTTGCATGTGATTTGTTGGGGATAGAGAAGTTGTCCAAGGCTGAAGAAATGCAATGTAGGAAAAAAATGTAGGATAGTGAGAGAAGCTTCAGGGAAAACACAAATAATAAAATGAAAATAAAGAGAATGAATAATCTCAACCTATTCTTATTGCTTAAACTACCTGTCTGCTTGTCTTCTTTGCTCGCATATTTAATGAGTTGTAATATGGAGCAAGTACCATGCTCACCATTGGAAAATGGAAAGTAACATGAGCAGATTCGTGAAAAAGTATTTGCTGGAAACAAGACAAGGGAGAATTCCAAGATGGCGGCTAGAGGTAGGAAGCAGAAAGCGACCCTCCTATAGTGAAATCTTGGAGAGACGCTGGAGACACACTTTGCAGGC